AAGTTATTACTCTTAAGTAATCATTTCTGTACTATTTATCTTTACTTACAAATTCAATTTCATAAATAATGTATTATCAGTCAGGGTAGTCTAGGTTATGCTGCTGTAACAAAGTGCTCCAGAATTTCACAGGCTTAGCAAAATAAGTTCATTTCTTGGTCACCCTACAAGCTGAGAAAGTGACAGCATGGGAGCTCCCTTACTCACAGGCCCAGGCACTGCAGAGGGCTTTTTGTTAAAATATGATACCCTAAATAAGCAAGATAAGGAAAAACAAAATATGTAAACTGTGCTGATTCTTACCACTTCTGCTCAGAAATTACACATTTTGTTAAAAAAAAAGAAAGAAAATAAACATATTTATGGGACAGAGGACTACTCTACTTCTAGAACTAAAAAGAGTAGTCCTTGATACTTTAAACTGCTCATATTTCCTGTATCAATACTGTGGGAATATGAAAAGCTATAAAAATTCTACCAAAGTCAATGACATAAAAAAATAGCTCAAAGAAGATCTATGTGTCTTTTGATCTCAGAAATCAGAGGGAAAGCATAAACCGAAAAAATGTTCATTAGGAATTAATGAGTGTTCCTTTATGGAATGATCCAGGCAACAAGCTATTAAAAATAACCTATTTCCCTAAATGCTAAAAATATACTTCCAAATAGGAGGGGCAAACAATGTTATCTCAGAAATAATTGGGCATTTCAGGTAATTATTTTCTAATTAAACAAGGTCTATCTGACTTACTTTTTTTTTTTTTAATAAAATATGTCTTTATTGATTTCAGAGAGAGGAAGGGGAAGGGAGAGAGAGACAGAAACATTAATAATGAGAGAGTTATTGATCAGCTGCCTCCTACATGCCCCCCACTGGGGATGGAGCCCAAAACCCAGGGTATGTGCCCTAAACAGGAATCAAACCGCAATCTCCTGGATCATAGGTTGATGCTCAACCGCTGAACCATGCTGGGCAGGCTGACTTTTACTCTTAAATTTTAAAAATAAGCCACATAATATATTCAATCTTTCATTATGGAGTAGCTTATTCTTTCACTTTAATTAAAAATATATATCCTAAACAAGTTGTTAGAAAGCACTTCAGAGACACTTAAACTAAAAACTGCTTTCCTGCATTTCCGCAATGTAATTAAAACTATAATCTTATTTCACTAGAAACTGTTTTAACCTAAAAATAATTGTCTAATAAAAATCTTACCTTATTATTCCAATGCTGCTGAGATACCAAATACATTTGTATTTTAACTGACAAATTTGATTTCACCAAAAATAAAATCCTTTGCTTGTCTAAAACACCACTAAGAAAATGAAAGTCAAAGCACAGACTGGGAGAAAGCATTCACAATACACACATCCAACAAAGACCCATATCCATAACAAAAAAGAACTCTCACAAGTCAACAGTAATAATACCAAAGAAAGGTCAAAAAATCTGAATTGAGACTACCCAAAAAATATACATAAATGACCAGTAAGTACATAAAAACATGCTCAACACATTCAAACATCAGAGCTTCTTATCAAGTTCAACATATACTTATCATTCCACTCAGCAATTCCACTCTTAGGCATCCATCCACTCAAGAGAAATAAAACAATATGTTCACATCAAGACCTATAAACCAGTGTTCACAGAAGCCCTCTTCATAACACTCAGAAACTGGAAACAACCCAACATCCACCAGCTGTGCAACATCCATATGATAAAACACCATACAACAAAGAGGAATGAACTACCAATGCACACAATATACACTAACAAACTTTTAGCTTCAACAGACCCAGAAAAAAGAAAAAGACTGAAACAGCTAGAATCACACCAAGCTTACAGAAATTACTACCAAGCTTACAGAAATAAAAAGGATTATAAAGAAATGCTATGAACAACTGTATGGAAAAACTGGATAGGATAGGCACATGCAAAAGAATGAAGTTGGACCCCTTACCTCACATCATGTACAAATACTAACTCCATATGGATCAAAGACCTGAAAATAGAGCTAAAACTAAAATTCTTTAAGGAAAAAACATAGGGTTAAATCTTCATAATGTGGGATCAGGCAATGGATTCTTAAATTTATGGCACCAAGCACAAAAAATTTAAAAAGCAGACTTAACTATTAATCAAATCAAAACTAAAAATTTTGCTTCAAAGGCCATTATCAAGAAAGTGAAAAGACAATACAGAATGGGAGAAAATCTCTGCAAATCATTTATCCGGTAAGGAACTAATACCTAGAATATATTTTTAAAAATTACAACTCAATAACAAAAAGACAATTCAATTTTAAAAAGAGACAAAGGATACAAATAGACATTAATATAAACAGACATTTCTCTAAAAAAGGTATACAAATGGCCACATGTAGCACATGAAAAGAAGCTCGGACATTACTAATCAGGAAAATCCAAAATAAAACCACCATGAGCTTCTGGCGCAGAGTAACCATTTTACTCTGGGTAGACACAGAGATATATTACACTGGGGATACAGTGCAAAATAAGGTAGGCAAGTTTCCTGTGTTTCTACTCAGGCACACAGTGAGATGAAAACAAGCAAATAAATATGTAATTAAACAAATATATAATTTCAGGCAATAAGTGCTATGAAATAAAATGAAACATGGTTAGTAAAATGAGACACGCTTAGAGAAACCAGACAAGCGGGGCAGGCTAAGAAATTACCATAGCACTATCTACACAGCTATTACCCTGAGGTGTTTGCTGCTTTCTCTCGTTTAACTCTCTTCACACCTACACGACGCAGTTATTACCCCCATTTTAATAACTAGACGAGAAGAAGTAATTTGCTCAAAGACCCCGGTCTCTTCCCTTTCAACCAGTATGACATAATGCCATTGAACGTGGAAGATGAAGCTATTGTTTTTCAAGTTCTGTTAGATTTTAAGTAGCAGTTGGAATTTTGGGCTCTGAAATAAGGATCCCCTTAGTTTCTGCACGTAAGACAAATGAAGCCAAGAATTATTTGAAAGTAAAGAGAAAGAGAAAGAAAGCAAGTGGCAGAAACTTTGTTTCTTTAAAATAATGTCACTGGCTCTATTCAGTCTTTCTTACCCCTGAAAGCTGAAGAACTGCTCATCCAGGGATGACAGTTTAACCCTTTTCTTCCAGGAGTCTTTTAGAAGGCATTCCCATCTTCAAGCTTTCAAAGTCCTAAATGGCAGTCTTTTATCTCTTTTTTCCCCTTTGTAGATAACTTACTCCCTTTACAGGGAAAAGTTCACGTATCTTCCTCAGTGTGTCCTCTCATCAATACCACATGGAACTCCATAACCTTTTCGATCTCAGGACCTGAGTTTTTCTCTGCTTATTTGTTTAATTATTACTAACCTCTTCCATCAGTTATGTTTCCTTTTCTTTTTTTCCCTCTGGAACTCCTATCCATATGTAAGGTTTTAAAATAATGTTGACTTCTTGGGTTTATTTATCTTTTCCTTCATGATTTCCATATGCTAACATTTTGCTCTGCATTGGGAGATATTTCTCACAGATAATCTTCCAGACAACTAATATGGCCTTTCTTTAATTCATCTATTGAATTTTTTACTTTAGAAAAAAAAATTAGATGGTTTTTGGCCCCAGGAAGTTTCTTTCATACTACACTTTAATTTCCCTGAGGGATCTTTTTATTTTTATCTTTTTGTTCAGGTGTTTATCTGACCCCTTAAGCAGACCTGGATATGTATTCTGGCTGAGAAAGGTTGTTATTTTTCATTAGGCTTTCTGGGCCTCAAGTCTAGATGCTGGGGTATTCCAAACACGGAAAATCCCACAGGTGTCGAAGACCACGCACCTCTGTTATCTTCGGGATTGTTTGCTGTGGAAGCCAGCTAGCTCTTCATTCCCTGCTGAGGAACCCAGAAGCATCCAAAGGGAATGGGCTCTGTCCCCTTCTCACTGAGCATAAGGAGAGATGGCAGTGTGGTAAAAATGCAAACAGTGCGAAGGCAGTGAGAATTTTTAAATAATGATTCTAGGGATTTCTTTGTTAGTTTAAGGGTCCCATAATGGAACTTGCACTTAGCAGGCTTTTCAAGGTCTCTGCACCAGCTATATTCACTTGGAAATATCAGAAACCAGTGGTGTCCGTCTAAACAGAGTAGAGGACCAAACACAGACAAGGTACGAAAACAGGTGCTTCTCCCTAACGGGAAACAAAAGGCCACTTCAGCAGACACTGCGATTGTGAGTGATCCTTCACACCTCTAAGACTGTGCTCAAAATTTACATGACAGAAGGGTGTGTCTGATTGACCAAACCTAGGCCATCCTGACTGCCAAGGGGTAAAAAGAAGGAAGGTCTGAGTCCATGGGATTCTGCATTTCTCCATAATGACCACCCATAGTTTCAAATCTTCAAAATCAGAAAAGAAGTTGGATATTAATCAGCCAAATTTAAGACGGGGGGAAAAAGAAAGAAAAAAGACAAATGTCCATTATGAACTACTCGCTCAAAGCTTTCCAGTCCCCAAAAATAGCTGATGCTCAATTTTAGCAACCTAAAAAGAAAGGCTTTGCCTTAGTACTAGACAACTTTCCTTGAATCACACTAAAATATCCAAATATGTCATCCAATTCAGTAAGAACTTGTACTTTATAATGGTTCTCATTGATGCAAGGAAAGAAAATTTGAAGTCTTTTAAAGAAACTGTAAATTAACTGAATTTGATAACAGTAATCTATCAAAATTTAGTTCCACACCAGTTTGCATTTGACTTGCACTTGGAGTTCATGTTGTGAATTTTGTTCTTAACCTACTTTAGATAACCACCTCTTTACTTCCCCTTTGATGGAAAATAATTGCTTCTAAGAATAAGAAGTAATGAAGCCTTCTCTACTTACTCTAAAGAAACACTATTTCCACCACAATAAGAAACAAGAGAGAACAGCAAAGTTTATTTAAAATTTTATACCTGTCAGGTTGATCATACAATTTAGACATTATCAAATAATACTTACCAATACATACATCAATTTTCCCTTTAATAGCAGCTTCATGCAGAGGGGTATAGTTCCAGTTATCCCTGGCATTGGGATCGGCTCCTTGACACAGTAACAGACTCACAACCTCAGCATGGCCAAAGGAACAGGCATTATGAAGTGGGATGAGACCTCCATCATCACGAGCATGGACATTAGCACCCATCTGTAGTAAATGTTCTACGACATCCTTCCTTCCAAAACCTAAAAATGATGAGGGAAAATATCTTACATTAAATCAATTTTGTAAAATGAACCATTAGAATTCCTTTAACAATATCAACAAATAAGAACTGAAGTACTATATTCTATAGCAAAAAGGGTAAAAAAAAGAGGGCTACTATTCAAATGGATTGTTTCATCTCACAAAACTCAGAACTAAGGACACTCTTCCTTTAGTCTTTAGGCAACTCATTAAAAAAACATTTCTTCAATATCTCCATGTGCTGCACAACGCGCTACACATGACTCCTGTCCAAGGCATTCACTTTCCCCTCATGCTTCACAAGACAAAATCAAAGGTATAAAATCCACCGCTATATTTTAAGAGATGATGGTTATTTAAATATTGCCGACAACCAAATCACAACACTCATCATTAAAGTAGGGAAACTGGAGAAAAACTGTATGAATACCAGAAATATGTGGTGAGAGTTTCTTTGCAAGATATTTAAAAAGGAGCAAGAAAAGATAATGCCAAAACATCTACTCTTGGGACTGGTGGCCAAACTAAATAAAATGATGGTTAAGTGAAACAACTCAGGCTTGGATTAACTGAGTTTGAGGAAACAATATGACAAACAAATGGGAATACAGGCATTTGAAAATACGCAACCAGAACACTGGTAAGAAATATCACAACTTTTAGATAGAAAAAATGGGAGGTAGGGGGGAAGAGAGCCAGAAAGGACCTGAGGCAGAATAAGGGCTCAGTAAACACTGAGAAAGGTAAAAAATACCAAGAAAGTACAAGATTACGAAAGTCACTCACGCTCACACACACTCTTCCACCACTGTTTTCAAGATCACTCAGTTTTACGTTCCTTCTGTACTTAATCACTACCTGAAAGTGCCTTGTTCATTTATTTGTTCAGTGTGTCTCCCAACTCAAGATGTTCCATGAAAAGAGATGATACCCCACTGTCTTATGAGCTGTTTGCCTCCAGCGCCTAGAATACTGCCCGATATACACTCAATAGTATTTGCTGACTATGTAAATATATATTAATGCTTACTTACTTCATGATAAGTAAACCAAAATAGTAAGTAAGCAGCTTTTAACTTTATATTTTTAATTTACAAAAAGAAAACCAATTTAAAGGTTTTTCTAACTATGACAATATCAGAAATATTAAAAAATGTAAACAAAACACCAAGTTTTCATAAAGGAAAACTGTAGTGTCACTATCCACAGATAACTATCACGAACATTTTGATGCTTAAACTTCCAGATTTCTTTCTTTGTCCAAACTGTCCTCTAATTCAGTCTATCAATTTTCATTTTCAACCGAAATGCTTGAGAATACTCATTTCCATATCCTGTGTACATTAATATAATGTATAAGCTTTAAAGAAGAGAGGCAAAAAATATAAATGTTATTTATATTTTTAGTTCAGATCTTTGCATTTTCTTTTGAAAATAAAAGAATAAATATAACTGAAATATCTCTTAATCCTAGTCATCAACTTTCTTCTCCAGACACCATTACATAAGTCAGTGTTTGTTGTACCCCTGCATATTTTTATACTTTTCATGTTTTTAAACACATAACTTTATGTATTTATATACTGTTTAATTGTTTACATTATTTCCATGTATTTCATAATAATATATTTGTACAGTATATATTTCACATTTCCTGTTATTAGAATATATTATATATGTGTTCATATTATATCATCAATATCGTTTGGTTCAACCTATATTAGTGAGGCTAATAATTATGGCAAATATTCCCTCTTCCTGCTGGCAAAAAAAACCTCAATTTTGCTCAGGTATTGGGCAGAAAGTATTATGGTCAGAGAAAGTAATCCTTTCCCCAGTTCTGGGAGTGAGTCCTGATTACTTTAAGCCACAAAGGTGTCAGTCACTGGCAATGAGACAGAAGGAAAAATCTAGAAGCTTATGGAATGATTTTTCTCCCCACTAAGAAAAGATACATGGAGAAAGAAGGCCCCTTTCTCCTCTCTCCATTCACCTCTAGAAAATTTTCATATAAGGTTATGACATTGGAGCTTCTGATACTATGATGGGGAGGTCAAGAGAATTATGAAAATGCTGGCATAGAATCCTACTGTGTTCATAGAGTACTGAACCAACTTTTGAACTTCCTACCTCTAGACCTGTCAAGCAGGAAAACTATGTCCTTATGGCTTTAAGTTTCTGTTAGCTGAATTGTGCACTACTTATAGCTGAACCCATGCAAACTGATATAATCAACTGTACATAGGTTTACTGACCATTCAAGTTTCACCTGTTAGCTACTGGTTCATTGTCTTGGTCCAATTTTCTGTTTGTCTTTTTCTTATTATTTTGTAGGAGTTCTTTATATATTCCGAACACCAATCTTGTGTTGGTTATATGCATTATATTCTCTGCATTTACGGCTTGTCTTTAAACTCTGTTTACAATGTATTTGACTTCATAAAAGTTTTAAAGTTCAACAGAGTAAAATTTATCAATCTTTCCCTACAAGGTTTGTGCTTCCTACATGATCTTTAAGACATCTTTCCTATTGCTACATTTCCTTCTAGATTATTTTTTATAATTTTGCTTTTCACATTTAGATCTTTAATCTACTTATAAGTATGATGTGAGTTAGAGATCTAATTTTCCATATCTTTTCCTCTTTGGTCAGTTTGTCTGTTTAATAGTTTAACTTCAAAATAAGTCTAGATACTGAGTAGGGCAGTGTCAATCCACTTTGTTACTCTTAAAAAATCATCTCAGCTATTACTGCTCTTTGGTGTTCAATATGAATATCTTCAAGTTCCATGAAGAAACCTGTTAGGAATTGTTTTTTTTAAAACTCACTAATTAGAATTAATCCTGGAAAGTTAACAAATTTACAATACTGAGCCTTCTAATCCATACAACATACCTCTCCTTCAATTCTGGTCTGTTAAGTTCTTCTATTTTGTGTTTTTCTCCATTAACATCTTGCACAGATTTAACACTTATTATTGGGTATCTTAATGTTTTTGTTGCTTTGGGGATGGAGAGGGCAGTGGTACATTAGGGGAGGTTAGTAAAAACAGATCACACGGAGCCTCTGAGTCCTAAGTACGGAGTTTGGATTTGAGCAGGGTTTGTCTGCTAGCTGATATAGCTAGAGTGCAGTGATGAGGTCAGAAAAATGGGCAAGGGCTAGGTCACATAGGGCCTTTTATCAGGAACATATTTGGCTGCAAATAACAGAATACTTAAAATAGTGAAGGCTTAAAGAAAACGTAGATGCACAAGTCTCCCACAACTTGTCGTATCAAAGCAGTCAGGCTGGCACAGTAGTTTGGTATTAAGAGCTCCATAAAAATCTTTCAACTTTGGCATCCTTAGCATGTGTAAGCTTTTTTCCACTTGCTTGTCACTTCCTGTTCACAAGAGTGTTACACCTCCTCCAAGCCTGATTTCATCCAGGTTCCCATACAAGAAGGGAGAGAGGGCAAAGGGAGAAAAGACTTTCTCTTAGCTTTATTATTATTAAGGAAATCTCTCCAGATAGTGTCACCTATATCTCATTAGTCAAAAATGTGTCAACTATCCAGCTACCCAAAAAGTCTGGAAAATCAAGACTTTTATAGCTGGGCACACTGCTGCCTGAACAAAATCTAAAATCTCTTAGTAAAGACTAAGGGAGAAAATAAATTGGGTGGATAACCAACAGTTTCTGTCACAACTTTGTAAGTCATGAGTAAGAGGTTTGGATTTTATTTTAAGTACTTAGGAAGTCATTTATAAGAGAAATTACTTGAGTCTATCCAAGTCTTAAAAGGATTATCCGTCGCTTTGTAAAAAACATATTGGAGAGGGTCAAGAGCAAAATCAGAGAGACAAGTTAAGAAAAAAATTTGCCATAGTCTAGGCAAGAACTGGTGGTGGCTTGGAATGGGAGAGTGGCAGTACAGATGGTCAAAAAAGAGAAAACTGGATAGGCTTTAGGACCAGAAGGACTGGCTCCCAAGTTCCTGGTTAAAGCAACTCAGCTTATGGAGGTGTCTTTAGGAAGGATCACGGTAAGCAAGTAGCAATAAAAAGTTCACCCTGATGAATTGTTCTTCTCCAACTACTAAACTAATTACTATAAACCTATTTCATAAATTTCAGCACCTTCTTTCTCCTGAATAGTGTGTGAGAAAGAATTACATTATTTTACATATTCAAAGAAATTTTAAAATATGCTATGTGGAAAGCATTGTTGCTGGCACTATGAGAAAAACCTAAATTCATAACACATAATCTAACCCCAATATAATCAACAGTTTTCCTTATTGTAATGAAAAAGTTTCAATTAAGGACGTTCAAAAATGTTTCAGTATCAAATGTACGGTCATTGGTATCTATTCACCAGGTCTGACTTTAGAGACAGAAAACTCTTTCACTTATGTTCAGCCCTTTCCTGCCTAAAATTAAAGCTTCAAAGGAACAACCTTGGCCAATATTAAATCTTGTAACTAACAACTATGACTTCTAAAATTTAATAAAAAAAGAACAATCTACAGTGTTTGCAGTATTTTAAAATGTTTTTATTTCTGGCAGCAAAGTCACAGCTTAGACAGTTTTCACTCTGATGGGACTGCTGGCAAAGCCACAACCTTATACATCATTTGAACTACTAAATGCACTGACCTACACTTACATACCCAACAAGAAAGTATGTATTATCTCCTATATTTATTTATTTTTAATTTCTTCCCCTTAGGTGTAAAAAGAGTACACCTGAAAGATACTCAAAGTGACAATAAAATAAGTTTGGGATTGTCTAGGAAAACAACTTGTGAAGTCTTATACATATTATATCTATTTTCCAGACATAAAGGAAAAAATAGAAGATAAGTTGGGGAAGATAAAAAAGGTACTTGGTGACAGATGTGACTTGTTCATTATTCTCTCTAAAAACATTAGGAAAAACTAGAATCTAGAATATGAGAATGACCTATTTACTTTCTTAAGCATTATCAATTCACTTCCATTCAAGTAAAAAAAA